CCCATCCATCTATATCCTAAAAATCATGAGTTACTTCTCGTGTGAGTCCCAGATCAACCTCCCAGGGTCTTTACGGTAGTCTTCCTGCCTTCCTCTTTCCATATTTAGAACTTCCTTCTTCAACAGTGAAGAACCTGGCTCCTACTATCCCCAAATAGTTACTAATTTACTCAGACTTAGACCACACAGAAACCAGTTTTAGAATTGTTAACTCAGACCACTGCCCAAAGTAAACCTATGTATTACAGTTCAATATTTATTTATAGTTTTTTAAGGATAAAAATGATATACAATGACAGGTATAAATCTTGAGTTCAATGTTCTAAGTTCTGACCAATGCATCTACCTGTATCCTGCATTACTCTGAAGACAGACATTTTTATCATTCCGTAAAGTTCCCTTGTGCCCCATTTTAGTCAATCTTCCCTAGAATAAACCAATTTACAAATTTGTTCCCCTATAGATCAGTCGCTTTATCAGTGGAACCACAGAGTATCCATTTCTTCTGTATTTTGTTTTAAATTCCTCTGGAATTTTAGCTGTACTCTTTTAGCACTTTCTATTGTGTAGATATGCACGATTATCCCTAAATCTTAATGTTTGTCTTATATTTAAATGAAACTCTGCTCCTATTCAGCAGGATTGCTAGAGCAACGATAAAAGAATGGCTGTAAGAAACAGAATCCTACTGATTTTAAACTTAAAATTCTTGAAATTAATTTTTAGAAGACCCAGTATAAAACTGATTGAGTAAATGAGATCATAATGATACCATTGAGCTATTGATCATCATTGAGATGCCTCAAAATCCACATCAATTTATTAGACATTCACTTATTCTCGCCTTCATTCACTCATTTGGGAATATTTATTAAGGACAGCCCAGATACTTTCCCAATGTTTAGATACATAGTAGGTAAAAAATAAAACAAAATAAAATAAGCAAGAATTGGGTAATATTCCCATTCTATTAGAGCTCCATGTATTCCATTTCTACTGTGCCCTCTCTTTTTTTGGTATAGACCCAAATTTCAGTCTGATATTTTTATGGACTGAATATTTGTGTTCCCCCCAAGGTCATGTGTTGAAGCCCTAACCCCCAGTATTTGGAGATGGGGGTCTCTGGGAGGTAAGGAGGTCATGAGGGAGGGGGACTATGAGGTTACTATGATGAGGTTACTACGCTCATAAGAGTCACCAGAGAGCTTGCTTTCTCCTCTGTCCCGTGTGACAAAACTGCAAGAGAGCCACCATCCGCAAGCCAAGAAGACAATCCTCCCCAGACCCTTAACGTGCTTGCATCTTGATCATGTTCTTCTAACCTCCAGAAGTGTGAGAAAGTGTTTCTGTTGTTTATGCCACCCAGTCTGTGGTATTTTGTCATGGCAGCCTGAGCAGACTAAGACAGATGTATTCCTCCCTCCTGAAGCTTCCTTCAGTACTCATTATAGAGGAGGTATGCAGACACTGTTTCCCCCACTGTTTATTTATCTGAGAAAGTCTTTCTTTCTCCTGCATTTTTTTTTTCCAATGAGAGAAAGGTTTATTTCCAAATACCATGTGCATGGGGGAACAACAAGAATGATTACCCTTCTCCTTCATTTTTGAAAGATACCTTTGCTGGATATAGAATTCTGGTTGGTACTTTTTGTTTTCTAGCAATTTAAAGATGCCATTTCCTGGCCTTCAGGTTTG